CACATATAACTTTGTGGTTCATATTTCATATGATATCAAAGATAATGGTTCATAACTAGATGTTATTAAATACACAGGTAACCAAATGAATTACAGTTTCATTTAATTTGCTAAGAGAAAAATCTGTGACCAGATACTAGATAATGGAAATAAGAAGGTCCAAATCATAGGCTTGATCTTGAAAGCAAGCCTCAGAAAAAGAAAACATTCTAAAGTAATGCTTTCTAAGATGTTACTTTTATGAGATGGTAGTAGGTTTTAATCAAGTGAAGAGGTAAGATATACTTGAGAAATGCTACATATTAATATTATTGTCTTAGAAATTCATAATTCATACAGTGTATTAAAGGCTGTGAGACGCACTGAGGGAAAGACATGTCTTTAATGGTGATAATCCAGCTGTGCTTATATATGGTCATAGATGCTATTGTATGCTTAGATTGGGGGAAAAGGAGAATATATGATTAGGAACACTTATTTTTTTTTACCAGATAATGAAAACTAACCAAAGGTATAGTTTCCTTTTTTTTCCTTATTTCCTTCCAATCAAGTTCCAAAAGTACCTGACTACCATTTGTGTCTACTGTAGGCCAAGCACTCTACTATGTGGCTTTACACATCATCTTTCCTAGGCTAACCATGATATTGCAAGTTAATTATTATATACCCTAATTGAAAAAAAATTATTAAATTGGTATGTAGTCAAGTAAACTAATCTGGTCAAGTAAACTAATCTATACCAGATAAGAAGTCTTTATATGACAGGATCCATACCTAGATATGGCCAACCCCAATTTGTTTTTAATACTTTCATAAGCTACAGACGAAGGCATGGTTTACTATGTCTTCTACAAGTATTTTGGAAGAACAAACTGATAGTCATGATAGGAGGTAGATGATAGATGTGGCAAGATTGTAGCAATTTAATACTTTAGGAAAATATGTCTTAATAATACTATACATTTTTAAAAATTATTAAATATGATTCTCCTGATGTGAAAAGTTCTCCTTTGATGGCCACTGCTTGATTAGCTCCCAAAGAGTCATTATTCAATGGACTTCAGGAAACAATGGCCATTGAAAGGGGCAACCATAGGATCTAATGGAAACCTCCAGCTTTGAAGTTAACCAATTTTCCCCCTGACCATACTATTTAATGCTACACCATTCCTTCAAGTCACTTTCTATTATAGTGCATATATTTTATCCATAACATGTACCATTGTTTAACACTAACTCACTCTTTCATCAAGGACCCTCTCTATCTTCTTCATCTTACCACCAGATATAAATGTCCCAAAAGGAGACACTTTGTGGTTACTGCTGTGGTCTCAAACCTTAGTCTGTGCCTGGCACAGGAAGCCAATAAATGTTTCGTGTTTGAATAAAAAAAAAATGAAGATAGCCTTTGATTAATAGCTCTTTTCTGTAATCTATTATCATTATGAATTTGGCCAGTTAACCTCTGTGATTTAATCCTTCATCTTTAAAACGCTAATCTTTATTTCAAAGGCTTAATCAATTAGATAAGTTATATAAGTGACCTAGCTCAATGTTAGTTCACTTTTTAAAAATGTTTTTTTAATTTTTAAAAGTGGAGCATTATAGTTTCACATAGTAGTTGATTCATTTGATAAAATCAAATATGCATGGAATCTGATTTACTCCATTTCAGTCCACATTCCCCACCATTTATCCTCCCTTTCTCTCTCCCGCTATTCTCCTTCCTGTACTCTGCTGATCTTCCTTTCACTCATTATTTATTTATTTTTGATTGGTGCTTTATACATTTACCATACAGATGAAAGTCCCTGTGGTATATTTATATAATGCATATAGCATGATTTTGTTAGATTTATTCTGCATTTCCTTCCTTTCCCATCCTCCTTCCTCCCTCTTGACCTACTTTTTCTACTCCATTGATCTTTATGATATCTGACCACCCTCTGCTATTTTCCCCCTTATTTTTCTCCAGCTTCTGCATATGAGAGAAAACATTTGTCTTTGGTTTCCTAAGTCTGGCTTATTTCACTTAGCATGATGTTCTCCAGTTCCATCCATTCCCTGGCAAATGCAATGATTTCATTCTTCTTTATTACTGAGTAAAACTCCTTTGTGTATATGTATCACATTTTCTTGATCCATTAACTATCAACAGGCATCTGAGCTGATTTCATAACTTGGCTATTGTGAATTGTGCTGCTATGAACATTGAAGCAGTAATATCACTATAGTTTGCTGATTGTAGTTCTTTTGAATAAATATCAAGGAGTGGGATAGCTGGGTCAAATGGTGGTTCTATTCCTAGTGTTTTGAGGAACCTCCATACTGCTTTTCCCTGACAACTTGCTGTCCTACTGACAATATACGGATGCACCACTTCCCCCACATCCTTACCAGCTTTTGTTATCATGCATATTCTGGATAATTGCCATTCTGACTGGAGTTAGTTCACTTTTTGACTTTGTGTTTATTGTGTATTTTCATATTTTCCCTAGCGCTTGTGAAAAGACTTGATCATAAGCAGAACTGTTAGTAAATTGTCTGGGGATTTCATTTTATTTTAGAAATACTTTCTAAAGTTTAATCAGTGTGTCAAGCATTTGCTTCTGTTTTCAAACAGACTCCAGCATTTCATAATGTAATAAAATCCTGATGAAGAGAGCACCCTAAGGGTGTAAAACAGAGAAAGGAAGTTAAAATAAATTAGAGTAAGAAGAAAAGCAAGGGAAGAATTGCTGCAGGGGGCAGGCTAGTTATGTCCGGAGGTTCAGAGGGCCTCCTGGGGTGCTGCACCATTCTACACCTGGGGCTGGGAATTAGCTTTACAAAGATGTGCTGTAGCTGTGTGCTTCAATTGTATTATGAATCACAATAAAATGGTTTGTAAATAATTTTTTAATAGCTAAAAGATGACAATGATAATAGGACAACTGGAAGGGGGGGGTGGGTATGAGTCTTTTAATCTTTTTTTCTGTTTTTTTTTTTAACTGCAAGCATTTAAGTTTTCAATTTGAATTACTATGCCACTAAACTGTAAAATGACCTGGGTTAGATAACTGAAGGAAATTTTGATTTTTTATATTCAATCTGTATAGCCTTCTAGAAGATATAAAGATTTGTTTTTTTATAAATACAAAAGCAGTACATCTTAAATGTAAGTACTAAATTTGACTTTTCTTTAGAATCCAACTTTCTGATTTAAATTACACTCAGGACATTAAATACTAAGCATTTCATTATTATGAATAAAATGCAGAATATAAAGAAAAAAACAAATTGGAAGGAAAACAGTGTTTGATTTCAGGTGGGTGTGTTATGTTTTCTGTTAATCATATTATTTGGGGATTGGAACCAACCTTAAAAATTACTGAATTCAAATTTTGTGCTTTTTCCTTCAGTCTCTTGCCTAAACTCTCTGCCAGAATCTTACCAAATAAAAATGCAGCCCGTGGCTGAAATGTCAGTGAGTTAGTGTCAGGGGTTAGGAAGGATTGGGGTTTAGGAGCCACATAATCTGAGATCTACTACTCTAACACTGTGCAAGACGTCCTCTCCACTTTTCCTTTTCCTAATCTACAAATGGAGTTAATTACTCTTACCTTGCAAGACTGTTATAAGGCTTAAAAGATACACATATAAAATTTTTAGCATCCACTAGTAAATGCTCCCTTCATAAATATTATTTCCCTTTCCTCGAGTGACCCATTCCTTCCCCAGGAAACCCATTTGAACTCTGTTTACAGTTCTGAATTCTTTTTGCATATTGATCCTGACAATTGTTCCCCTATTACCTAAAAGTTCTAGCTCAACTCTTTAGAGCTTCATAAAACAAGTAGAATCCTTTATCTTTATGATAATACCTGAACTCAAAAATCACAAAGACCCATGTTTACCTAGCCCAGCAAGTAGCTTACTTAACTGGGTAGAGTGGTGGTAAAACTTCAACTAACCACTGGGCCTATGGTGGTGGGAATTGGGCAGACTGGAATGCCCATGCCTCATCTAAAAGCAGCAGATGAAACAGCTTTAACAGATTGCTGCCACCTAACTAATTCAAGGATGTTTTTATAACTCTGGCCAGCATTGTATGAGCCAAACAAAACATGTCTGTGAGCCAGACCAGGTCTAGATTATTGTAAGCAGTCAGCAAGCAGCACAGTTGCTTCACACTGGTAGGCAGCTCATGCATGCACAGAGCAGGTGGGGGGCTAAACAACATATGCCTTCAGGTCTTCATGACTTTCTCTAATTCATGCTAGAACATCTGTGAAGTAGCAGCAGCTGGGATCAGCATCATGATCCCCTTCAATCTGTCCTAATGAGGCAAATTCTACTCATCTCACCATCAGGCATTTTGTTCTTCCTAACACTCTACAATTGATCAAAGTAGCAATCCTGGAAATTGCTTAGAAATGCAAATGTGTCTGACCAGCATGGACTGCAAGGTGCAAACTCCATCTTCCCTTAATTTAGAAAAGGTGTTCTTAATTTTGGTACCTTCTGTCTCAGAATAGTCCATGCTTTGATTTCAGTACATCTATGAACCTGCTAAAAGTGAATAAAAAATTTTGTGAGGTTGGCTTATATGCATATATTTTAAAAGTTTCTTAAAAGAATAAAACCCCAACAACTCCCAACAACTTCTATGAACTATACTTCAATTAATGTAGTCTGTAGCATTAGCTTTTGGGAGACAGTCCTGTCAGAAAAATAGTGAGGGTATTTTCTACTAAAAGCTACTTGTCTTTTCATTTCTTTTTTGACACAGAGCTTCATAACCTCCTGCTGGATTCTCGTGTAATTATCCATAACCCACTAACCCAATGAACACTCATGTCATTTAATTCCAATCTAAGATGTAACATTGGATTTTATTTTATTTTACTGGATTGATGCTAAAATCCATAATGCTGTGATTCTATGGCTTAAGAAAATCATTATATTGCTGGATATTTAGTTTGTATGTATTTATATGTCCTTCTTTGTTCTTCTCATAGGTCGAAAGTTTAAAAAATTCAATAAAGTCAGGGTTATGAGAGCACTGGATGGTGTTGCTCTCTCTCAGCCAGTGGGCATTTCGAATGAAAGCCAAGCCCTAAGCCAGAGAATCACTTTTTCACCAAGTCAAGATATACAGTTGATCCCCTCACTGATCAGCCTGTTGATGAACATTGAACCAGATGTGGTCTATGCAGGACATGACAACACGAAACCGGACACCTCCAGCTCTTTGCTGACCAGTCTTAATCAACTATGTGAAAGGCAACTTCTTACAGTAGTCAAGTGGTCTAAATCACTACCAGGTAATCATAATTTATATGTATTATCAGGCATTAAAATTTTTACTGTTAATTAACTGCACAGACTGTTTACTTAACTATAATAGCATGTTAAAATATGTTTCAGTGGCTCAAAATATTTGTTAAATATTATATATGTGCTATAGAAACACAAAAGTAGAGAAAATGTTGAATCCTGTTGATAAATTAAGAATTATATACATGAAACAGGTAAGGGACAGTATATTTTTGTTATAGTTCAGGAAAATACATGTTGACTATCTTTTTTTTTAATTCTAAACCCTAATTGAATTAACTTCATTTGGTGGAAAATAAAATGGAACACATTTACTCATATAACAAATCAAAATAGCATTCAGAGTATAGTAAGCTGTCAAGTCAATTAACAAACAAAATTAACAAACATAAAAAGAAATGAACTTCCAATCACCATTTCCTCTAATTCATTTAGGAATAAAGGAGGAATTGCCCAGCAGCAGTGAGAACTGGGTTGTATCATTGTGAATTATTTCAGTCACTTTCTAGTTGTCTTTGCTCCCTCAGCATAGCTCCATAGGAGCCAAGAGGGTTGAAAGAATAACAAGGACAAAAATTCTTATTTGATTAAATCTCAGACTGCAGAGCCAGAAGACTTGTAGCAATTGCTATGGAGGCGTTAATCTCTGATTAGAAATAGAACACTTTTTCCAAAAACTATATGCTCTTCACATCAGTGATATCCTTATACTTCCTTAGAACAATTTATTTTTCTAATATCTGATCAAGAATGAAACATATTATGTCCTTTTTGTCCCCAAGAAAATTCAATAGCTTTTTTTAAAAATAATTTCTTCCCAATTTGCCTTAATATATTTCTCAGTTATGATTCTACCTGAAAGATTTGAAATATAATACATGAATTGTATTGAACATTCAAGGTTACATGAAACAGAAAAATAGATTCCTGTTTGTTGAATCTTTAAAAAAATATGTATTAAGCAAAGTTAATAAAATTCAGTATTCTAACAAAATGATGTAATTTTAAAGAAAAATCAAAATGCCAGGTTCTTGTTGGCTTCATTGTAGATGAAAGGCCTTGAACAGGTAATATTTTTCCAATTAGAAAAGTTTTGAAAACTTAGAACTTACTGTAATAAGATTATGAAATTCACTAAATCTTTGCTGAGCAAAATGTCATAATACATTGATAAAATTGTTTAAAGATATGTGTTTTAAAATGCTTTTAGTTTTTCTGTTTTTCTATTATTTGGGAATGGTGATTTCTTTGATATTTGCCAATATACAATATATTCCTTTTGTTTGTATTTTGGAATTTCTTCAATATTTAAAAATATTCTATCATTGATGCCATAAAAATAAATAAATTGGAAGAATATCAGTGAAGAAATCGGTCGGGGAGGGAGGAAGGGAGAGATGGGAAGTTTTGGGGATTGAAATGAAGCAAATTATGTTATATGCATTTATGAGCATTCAAATTGAAATTAACTGTTATGTATAACTATAATGCACTAATGAAAATATTTTTAAAAGGTTCTACCATTAGCTGGAAGATTTAGAAAATAATCATAATTTAAAAGATAATTTATTTACTTTTGATTAAAACTAAGTAAGCTTTTTAGTTGAAGCAGGTAACTACCAGGAAATTTTTTTGCACACAATATCAAAAAAGAATGAAAGAAAAATTTTAAATTGAATTTGATGGCAACTTTTTTAATGTTTCAAAATATAATTTACATGTAGCAAATCTGAATGATTGCAATACCATTATTATACATACTGTTTTCATTAACTATAAACAAGGAAATCATTGACATGATCAAAATATTATGCAGTCTGTGGTCTTTGTAAACCACATTTGAAAAGACTGCTTGCTGGGAATAGCATTACTGAATGAATAGTGAAAGTGGTTGACTTCTGTAAAAGGACTGTAATCTGGTATTATTTGCTACTCCAAACTGATTTCAGTTGATATTAATCAAGGTTGCAGTTTTTATTCACTGATCCACTTCATACATGTTGCTTACACACCTCCAGTGTGCAAGAGACAACAATTAAACAATGGTGGCAATTAAATAATGGTGCAGTGCTTTCTAGCTTTTAGCTGTCAGTTTTGTACATAAATTTATTTTATCCATTTTTTCATGTGTAGTAAGACTAAAAGGTTGATGGAAGATGGACTTTTGTTAATGGGTCTTTTATAATAAGTCAGAATGTGAACTTACTTATTTACAGTGCAATATGTATACATTACATGCAGGCATGCGTGTTAGTGCACACACACACACACACACACACACCAGATGTTAGAAAAACATGTTAACAGATCAGGTCATTCTTTCCAAGAGGAAAGTATATTTGGTATGTCAGATTAAGATCAGATGCAGAATGATCTTCAGAACAAAGATCATTGCACTTATGAGTGCCCCTAGGTATAAATCTGCAGGTGCCCAGAGGATTCTTATTGCCTAATCAAAGCTTCCTCATTGCTTCTTTGTCTATATTCTATTGTCTATATTTGACCTGTTGATCTTAAGCAAGGTTACAATAACCATAGCTTATCTTACTTCTCTCCACTAGTATTTCAGAGGTATACTTTTTCTATTCAATGGAGACTTGGAAGATGCTCTAGCCTCCTAACAGCATATTTACAAACCATCTCTTAGAATATATTGCTTCTGACATTTAGAACTTGTATATGAATGATTTTACATTACCTGCAGTTTTGGTGATTAGTCTCTTCTAATTTACAGTTTGAAAGAACACATTATCTGTAAAATTTTAAAAATGAATATGAGAGGGCTGGGGTTGTGGCTCAGTGGTAGAGCGCTTGCCTTGCATGTGTGAGGCACTGAGCTCAATCCTCAGCACCACATAAAAGAATAAATAAATAGTTATTTTTAAAAATGAATATGAGATATTTCTGCTACTAGGAAATTTTCTATCCAATGAGAGAAAGAAGACATTAGACAGTGTAGGTACAGATGACATAAAATACAGATATAAAGAAAGTAGGGACAGAAAGCACTTTGACAGGCACTAGAGAAATGAGAAACCATAGTTAAGTTTATCTTGATTAGAAGAGGAAGCCATCACCAGTATTAAGAGTAATTGTAATGCACCAATTAAAAAATTTTTAAAAATGAATAGATAGCTGGGCATGGTTTCACACACCTGTAATCCTAGCAACTCAGGAGGCTGATGCAGGAGGATTGCAAGTTCAAAAGTAGCCTCAGCAACTTAGCAAGGCCCTAAGAAATTCAGTGAGACCTGTCTAAATAAAATACAGAAAAGGGCTGGGGATGTAGCTTAGTGGTTACGTGCCCCTGAGTTCAATCCCCAGTACCAAAAAAGAAAGAAAGAAAGAAACTTTCCAGATAGAAAGAGAAGTGTGGTTGACGGCATAAAAAAAAGAAAGCATGAGACATACTTGGTGAATAATGAATGAAACCAGAATAACACAGTGGCTTCCAATCTTTTCAAATGCAAGGATCCCTTTTAAAAACATTAAAATATTATCATTCATTCATTCATAGGAGCTTTTATACACACACACACACACACACACACACACACACACACATATATATATATATATATTTATTTATTTATTTATTTTTTTTGGTGGTGCTGGGGATTGAACCCAGGGATTTGTGCATGCAAGGCAAGTACTCCATCAACTGAAATATATTACCAGCACTTGATTTTTTTTATTTTTAATTTTTTTATTTGTTTTAATTAGTTATACATGACAGTAGAATGCATTTATGCACTTTGATATATCATTCACAGATGGGATATAATTTTCCATTTTTCTAAGTGTGCACATTGTAGAATCACACTGGTCATGTAGTTATATATATATATATATATATATATATATATATATATATAAACGATAATGTCTGTTTTGTTCTACTATCCTTCCAATCGTCACATCCCCTCTACTCCCCTCACTTCCCTCTACCTAATCTAAGGTAACTCTATTCTTCTCTAGTCCCCCCTCCCTGTTGTGAATTAGCATCTGCATATTAGAGAAAACAGGCCTTAAGTTTTTTAGGATTAGCTTATTTTGCTTAGCATGATAATCTCCAACTCCATCCATTTACTGGCAAATGCCATAATTTCATTCTTCTTTAAAGCTGTGCCATGCATAGGATCTTAATTTAAGTTTTTAGTAGCTGCTAATTGAGAAAACACATTTGTGTATGCAAATGTTAAAACATTACCACAATTAATATGGACCTTCTGGGGGTTTCATCACACAAGTATCAAGAAACCACTAATAATAAATTGATATTGAAGTGAGTAGTGGAAAGTAAACTTAGAGGTATGAGTTGTAGGCTGATCAAGGAGGGTGTTAAAAGTCAGGGTAGATTTTGGAAATTAAATTGGTAAATATTTATTACCCAGTTTCACTTTGAATAGTCTTCATTTTGTATGTCAACAGAGAAGGCTGGGGAAAACTTTTCCTTTTTATAAATTTTTCCTTGATAACTTCCATTTGGTGAAATATCTATTCAGGTCAATGTTTTCACATTTTAAATATTGCATTTCTGACACCTCTCTTTTTTCTTGGTTTCAATTAGCCAGAATATTTTAAGTTTTATTATCAGAAGACTGAAACAGTACTTTGTCTTGCTTTCTGATTTGACACATGCCAAAACATCTCTTGAGTCATTGGTAGTCATTGTACCTGTGACAAAGGAAGGATTTTTTTCCTTTCTTCCTAAATCAAATGAGCAAATTGAATTATTGCCTTTTAAAAATGTGATGAGAGAAATGAAAGTGACTTACTAGGAGAAAAGTTAGGTGATGAAGGGCTTTTATGAAGGCCTTCATTAACGATTTTTCAAAAACCCCATTATACTGAAATTACTATTTTCAATGTTGACAAAAATTTTTACTTGTAAAATAAATGAATATTTTCAACTCTTAACATGCCTCATGTGTCAGAGGGTTTGTTGGCAAAGTAATCATTTAGTGCTGAAACTCTGTCTTTGCAT